AACCATTTTCATGAATGTACGATTACGCCTTTCTGCAACGCCATTTTGTTGTGGCGTACCGGGCATTGTGTATTGAGCACAAATGCCACGTTTTTCAAGAAACTTAGCAAATGGACCTGGCACAATTGTCCATTTTCAGTATACCTTCCATAATATTCACCACCCCTTATCAGATTTTATAATTTTCACCCTTTTGTCCAATTGTCTTTCAACCTCATCCACAAATACCTCTAAGGCATTTATTTATTGAGACTTTTCATGCAACAAATAGACATAACCATAACGTGAAAAATCATCAATAAATATGGTGAAATATTTTTCTTTTCCAAAAGTTGGGACATCAAAAGGTCCACATATATCAGTGTGTATAATTTCAAGAAGCCGTGTGCTTCTTGTAGCTGCATTTGTGTGTTTTGAATATTTTCCTTTAATACAATCCACACAAATAGCGAGATCAGTAAAAGCTAATTCAGGAAAGATTTCATTCTATACAAGTCTTTGAATCATTTCCTTAGATATGTGACTCAAACGTTTATGCCACAAGTAAGCTGATCTTTCATCCACTAAACTTCGTTTAGTTCTAATAAAAGAGTTTGAGCAAAAGATTGCCAAGCTTTAGATTGTACAAACCATCAGAAAGAATACCAGAACCAATGAAATAAATTTGCTTGAATAAACCGAAACAACTATTTCCAAATTTAGTGGAAAAACCATAAGAGTCCAGTTTTGACAAAGCAATTCAATTCCTAGAAACTGAATGAATATAAAGAGTTTCAAACAAATCTAAATGATTTCCAGTATCTAAAATTAAACGATAAGTTCCAATGGCTTTTACTAGAGCTTTGACTCGATTCCCCATAAACACAAATTTTTCATTTGGCTTTATGGTTTGGGTCATAAGGAATCCCTGCATAGTATTCGAAACACGAGTAGTGGAACCAGAATCAATCCACCAAGTATTATAAGGAACTTCAGTTAAATTTGATTCGAAACATACTGATATATAATGTATACCTTTCTTTTCGAACCATGCCTTACGCTTAAGGCAATCTTTCTGAAAATGTCCAGATTTCTTACAGAAATGACACTTGTCATTCTTATGTTCCTTTTGTGGATTTGAGAAGAGGACTCATTTGTCTTCATTGGTCCTTACTTACCCTTATGATTCTTCTTTCCAAATTTCGTACCAGCCCTTGACTGACTCGTGAGAGTAATTGAGTAAATTCCTTGTCCTTTAAGCCTTGTTATCTCTTGAGTTAGCATTTTATGCAATTCAAACACATTCCACTTATCTTTAATAGAATTGTAATTCACTTGGAATGTCTCATACTCAAGAGGCAAAGGGTTTAAAATAAATTGTGCAAGGAAAGTATCACTCATGTCCATTTTCATGGGCCTTAATTTTGCTGCTAATAAGCTCAACATAATCATAAACTGTCAAATACATTGAAGGTCTCCTTTGGGTGATCCAACAACATATAACTTTAAACATAATACGATGCTAGAAAAATTTCATATAATTGGTCATTAAGTATATTACGACTAGACTTGTTTGCTATCTTTGGATATGCTAAACAGCCCAATCAAATATAAATAAGTAACCACTATTATTGCTTATAATTATGAAATAATTGATCAACCTTTGGGCGACTCTTAAATATTTCATAATTATTAAACTCTCAATTTACCCAATACAATGAAAATAAAATAAAATCATGTCATCTCATTATAAGCATCACGTAATCATGGGTAATTGAATTTTATTTAAAAATTTGATATCTATTAAAACTTTATAATTTGGCCATTTTGGTGACTAACAAATCAATCATAATTAGATACCAAGTTAAGTGGATATAATATAATAAATAATATCATAAAAATATCCACATACATAATTATCACTAATAAGCAAGCCAAACGATTTGCTCCATTTACATAGATGGGGATCGAACCCTTCACCTCTAGTTTAAAAGATAAGGTTCTCAACCCATAATTAACCTATAATTCTAGTTACAAAGAATCAGAATTAATCTACATACACAATTAATACATAATTAATTAACAACTTAATCTGCAGTAATATGGCGGAAGCGATAAACACAAATCATTAAGAAAGCATATGCAGTAACAAAACTTCATTGCAATCCGTCCATGCTTTCTATTCTTTTATATAACCAATATAAACAGTACGTACAAACAACAAATCCAATGCATACTATCAAACACTGCACATACGAAAAACTTATATATATATATATATATATATATATATATATATATATATATATATATATATATATATATATATATATATATAACCATACGGAAACACAGCAACGAAACGCAACAATGGAAGCCAAAAGGAAAAAAGATGTCCTGCGTATGTATATAAAGCTTACGTATATATGCAGTACGCATATCTGCCGTACTTTTGATGATGCCAGTACACATATATACACTTAACATATATATATATATATATATATATATATATATATATATATATATATATATATATATATACATGCATTACATAATATATATACGAATACAGACAAAACTAACCAAAACTAGCATGTGCTTATTAATTCCAGAGATTTAGCATTTAGTGGAATTAAACATGCAAAGCTAATCATTCGAAACAAAAGCATTTTAAACATAAGGGATATTTAAGATACCCAGAAAACATCAATACATACATACGCAAATATATGAAATCATATGGAAAAAACATACATACATACACAAAAGTTAATAAACTAACTCTTTTCATCAAATTCATGTCATACTATGAATTCATAATAACTAACTCATCATTGCAAATCATTCTCATCAAATTCATTGCATACAAATTAAAACACAAGGATTATGAAACCACTGCATACATATGCAGATAAACTAAACAGTACATACATATATGCAATGAGTACATATACAGGCAAATGAACTCAATAGTACATACATACGGTACATATAACCTTTCATCATAATATATGGAAAAAACATATGTTCAACAACCAAGCTCTGATACCACATGTTAGGTTAATCCTATAAACATAAGATCTTCAGAACATATGCTTTTCACATACGGTATTTAATTAGAGTTCAACGAACATACCTGGGTCCATAGTTCTCTGCTTATATTAGAAACTTGGTTTCTCCCTCCAGACCTTCAACATTCCTTTCTCTAAGAACTCTGATGGAGAGAGACTTTTGTTTTGTTTTTTCTGAAGGTTGGGGAGAGGACCAGAGAATCAGAATGGTTAAAACATAATCTCACGGTTCCATCAACGTGAGAGGTTATCTGATGCAATTAAAACTGCTATTTACCATTAACTGATCCATCATAGAATTATATCATTATTAAATTATAAATAAATATTTATGAGCCATACAATATATTAATGAGCAATGGAATAATAATAATAATAATAATAATTATTCCAACAATATCTCCTTTCAAAATATTGATTTGATTATTGTCATTATTCTTCCAAAAGGTTGAATCCCAAATCTCCTCACTTTGAGAGGTTGCTCCCACAATGCCACTGGTGAGACTCAATCCCTGGTCATTTTTTCAATTTTTCACCTCAATGACAAGTTGAGCTGCCTATGCAGGTTAATTATTGTCATTATTTATTTGATGCATGAATGTCATTTTCAAATATAACAAAGAGTTGTAATTTTATTTTTTTTTTGAAAGCAAAAATACGAATCAATATTATTACAAAAGCATCAAAAGAAAGTCTGGCGGGATAGTATCCCAATACAGCGAACTATCCTGAGTAAATGCCTTAGTGGCCAAAAAATGAGCTAAAATATTTAAAACTTGAGGGATCGAAACTAATACGCAAGAAGCAATAAAAGGAATCCATAATAGACTTGCAGTCCCGAATAACCACCCCCGCATACGATCTCGGTGGGGAATTCGGCCTGTTGATATAACCTTGGAGGACCGAGCAATCTGTATAAACCATAATTTTCGTAACGTCACGTGCTTTAAGCCATGATAGAATTTCCTTACAAGCGAGTGCCTCAGTCGTAATAATATTTTCAGTGTATAGGAGCTTCCCATTTACTGCCGCAATGAAACCGCCATCTTCCACTATTAAAACCCCTCCAAACGTAGTTGTCCCTGTATCTAGGTTGCGGCCTGCGTTGACAAAACACCGCCAACCCGGAAGGAACTACACTGGATGCTGCTGCCGTGATGCTCTGGTAGACCGAGTCTCAGCCGCATGCCAAGCTTCCACAGCCTTGTTGGCTACAGTCCACGTGTGGCGTGGTGCATAGAGGTAAGCCTCCCATACCGCAGCGTTCCATGCTCCCCATATTTGATATAGGACTGCAATAACTTTAATAAGAACATCCTCAGTTAAAACATCCTCAGTTAAAACAGTCATAACATTTTGCAACCACTGAGCAAAACAATCACCAGTCACACAAGAAATAGGGAGATGAGATTCATTCCACACATGTATAGCATAAGTGCATTCAAGAAAAGTATGCATGGTATCCTCGTGGAAAACAGTACACTACATGGAGCATGATGGATCAATATCAACTCTTTTTACTAAGAGATTTGTAGTGGTGGGTAGAATACCACTAACAGCTCTCTATAAGAAGGTTTTCCATAAAAATCATGTTAATTTTTATTGTAAATAAATTATTTCATTGAATTCTTAATATAATTTTTTTTTAATGAAAAGTCTTTATTTTATTATTTTGAACAAAGGAAACTAAAAAGAAATACTTCCCCATTAGAGCTACAAGCTAGATTATTTCGATAATAACTACGACCACAAATACTAACACTAATTATCATGTTTAAATTGATCGATCTTATTATTATAAATTTATAAATAAAAAACTTATACAATAATCAAATGTAATTACATATCATATTTGAGATGGGAGAAGAAAATTTTTAAGATCAAATGTGATTTTTTTATGTGTCCTTTATTTTTATACATAGAATAAATAAATTAAAAAAAAAAAAAAAAAAAAAACATGATATATAGGCAGCTAACTGTGCAAGCAAATTTCAAGGATGTTTCCTTGAAATTTCATGACTCCTTCCATTCAATTTCTGTCCTTCTCCTCTTCTTCCATTGAATTTCTCTCCTGACTTTGGTGACTCTCTCTCTCTCTCTCTCTCTCTGATCTCTATCTGCATCTAGGCTACTGCTAACTGAATTCTAGTTTCAAAACACAAACCATAGCTGCTGTGCTGCAGGTATGCATCTATTCTCTTGACTAAATAGATGATTTTTTTTTATATTTCCTCTGCAGCCAATGTTTGTTCGATCTGAAGGATTAACTTTCGAAATCTTGATTTTCATTCAATAAAAAATAAATAAAAATATACCTGCTCAAAAAACATTGGAATTTGCTGACTGTGACTCACACCTATTTAGTATAAATAATTTCAAATTTAAAATATATATGCTAAATTTTAAGACTTTTTATTCTTAATTATACTTAATTAAAAAAAAAAGAGTTAATCAGCTATCTCTAGCTCTTTCTTCTAAATTTATTTGGTAAAATTATTTTTATTGAGTTTTAATTAATTCTTGCACAATCTATATCTTCTTCTTCTAAATTTATTTGTTAAAATTATTTTTATTGAGTTTTAATTTTTTTTTTTTTTTTGAATGCTACTAGCTCTATTACATTGTAGTATCTGTTCATATACTTTCTCAACCTACTGAAACACAACGAGCTAATAACGCCTCCATTGAGGCTCGAACTTACAACCTTCCAAATGGACAATGCTAATGCTAATTCTTACATAATTTTATATTTATTTTTCAGATTAATTTTAACTATTCGATCTGGACTCATAAAGGTATGCATAATTGTTATATTCTTCTTAATTATATTTGCTTAGGTGTTTGTAGATATCAGTAAAACTCCTACGCCTATTGAAAATGAATACATCCAGCCCAGTTGCATTTGTAGGTTTTCTATACCAAAAATGTTAATCAGCATCATACTCTATTTTTAAACTTTATTTTACAAAATGTTTAAAACTACATTATTTGAGTATTGAAGGTACACCATTTTGTATACTATCTGAAAATGCCCGTGTATCTCGAAATCAATTTAACACTAAGGATTCTACTTGATTTTATGTTACGAGACAATTTCGTTGTTTAATTAAATCAATTTAATCAACGTATAAATAACGAAATTGAAAGCATAAATAAAGTAAAGACACAGTAGAATTGTTACGCAGTTCGGAGCTCATTCTCCTACGTCTGCGGGGCAACCCACGTCTGCCCAATCCACTAGATGTTCACCACAGAGTATTACAAGGGGTAACTACAAATGGCTCACAGCCTTTACCACTACAACTCTTCTTAAACACCTAATCAGGACTGAACCGTGCATGCCTTAACCATCTTTGGTGTAGCGCTTCAGCTGTCACAGGTACTGATTTGAAGTACAGATTTAAATCACAAATATAACATAATCAATATTAGAGCAATAATATAGGAAGCTTGCGTAGGTGATAAGAATTTCAGAATTGGCAACTTCCTCTTTTGTTTTCCCTTCCTTATATACTGTACGCAATTCCCATTCCTCCAATCCTTGATTTTAGCATTCACATGTGGCTTGAATTCTTCTCAACCACATCTTCTTTAACTTGAGATCTTCAGACTTGCTCTTTGTCCAACTTATTAACAATAAATCTCCGCCACACATTTTAGCTTGGTCCAAAATACTAATTACAACTCATACTAATTAACATTACATATTAATAAAATAAACTAATAAATTAGCCAATCTAATGTGTACTATTTTGTACACTTACACTATCAAATAATGTATATTCAGTACATTTTTATTATATTAAATTTTTTTTTTGAAGTTTCTTTGCTCCTTCCAATGAATTTCTCAGGTGACTTTTTTTTTTTTTTTTGAAGAGCTGTGGTGACTTTGTTGTTAATTTATTTCAAGCTAAGAAATTTTAAGTATATCTCTCTCTCTGCATGTGTGTTAGGTTTTTGGCTTCTTCATTGCTGATTAGCTACCGCTAAGTTAAATCCTTCCAGTTTCTAAAGACAAATTATGGCTGTTGCGCTGCGGGCCGGTATAGATCTATTCTGGACTCTTAAAGGTACGTAGACAATCATGTCGCATCATAATTATTATGGAATAAAAGTCAAATAGGCCATCGAACTGCACATAATAATGTAATTATGCCACTAAACCTAAAAAAACAACAATTGGGTCCCTAAATTAACCATTTTCATGCAATTAAGTCAATTTACAGGTTTTGCAAGTTAGTAACAGGTCACCCAAATTTTAAAATATATTTTTTAAATTATTATTTAAAAATAATAATTTAAAATTAAAAATTATTAAAAAAAAAATTATCCGTCTCCGCCGGAGACGAGTTTCTTCATATCCGGCCATGGAGACGACGGCCGGAGACGGAGAGTCTCTTCGTCTCCGGCCATGGAGACGGAGAGAATCTTCGTCGCCATGGCCGGAGACGAAGAGACTCTTCGTCTCCATGACCGGAGACGAAGAGACTCTCCGTCTCCGGCCATGGAGACGAAGAGTTTCTTCGTCTCCGGCCATGGAGACGAAGAAGGTTCTTCGTCTCTGGCCGGAGACGAAGAACTCTGGCCGGAGACGGCAGAGCGAAGAAATGTTTTTTTTTTTTTAATTTTAATTTATTATTTTTAAATAATAATTTTTTAAAAAATATTTTAAATTTTTTTGGGTGACCTATTACTAACCTACAAAACCTGTAAATTAGACTAATTGAATGAAATTTGTTAGTTTAGTGGCCTAATTGTTGTTTTTAAAGGTTCAATGGCTTAATTGCATTATTGTGTGCGGTTCAATGGCCTATTTGACCCTTATTCCTTATTATATTTTAGAATGCCAGTGAGTGGTTGTATATTTAATTTGTATGTATTTTGTTTTGAATATGAACATTTTAGTTATTTAAATGATATTCTTTTTCTATTCTATGATCTAAACAAACACAAAAATATGATTCCTTATATAATCTCATGTTTATTACCCTTTTATTCCTATTTAATTCCTTTGTTATTCCATTCTTGTTGGAATTATATTCTATTCCTTTTCATTTTATTCTTTTGAACCAAATGTCACGTTATGAGTTAATACCTCCGATGGTCTTCCGAGTATTAGTGATTTACCAACTGTGGTCATCCGACTTTTCAATGACTTCCAATGGTCCTCCATGTTTTAAAAAAAATCACACGTGGTCATCCGACTTTTCAATGACTTCCAATGATCCTCCATGTTTAAAAAAAAAAAAAAAATCACCCGTGGTCATTTTAGGACGTCTTGTGGTCATTTTAAACTAGGATTTTTTTAAGAATTAGGACCACATGTGATTATTTTTTAAAACATGAAGGACCAGGTCATTTAAAAGTCAGATGATCATAACTGGTAAATCGTTAATACTCACTCGGAGGATCATGGGAGGTATTAACTCATCACGTTATATATAACACTTGTAGCGTCTAGAACATACACTTTTATTCTTTGAAATGTGTAATCTTAACATTTTTGCTACATATGCACTTTTATCATTTTATAGTACACTTTTAATTAGAGTTAATACCCAAAATTGTCATCGACTATAGTGATTTTTCTCAATTTCGTCCTAAACGACTTTGGTAACCTAATATAGTCCCAGACTTTTGTGTTTTGCTCAATTTAGTCCTCCGTTTGTTATTCCGTCAAATTGGTGTTAAATAAAGGGACAATTCAATAATATCAATATTGACATCTCTTTACTTTCAACATGCAAAGTGAGAAATCTCTCTTTCTTACACGAATTACACCCAGAGTTACTCTCAGACCTACGAATCAAATTTTATATTCGCAGCTTTAGAAGTGATTCTGGGAGTAATTCGTAAAAAAAGAAAGATTTCGCACTTCACATGTCTATGAATAAAGAGATGACAATATTAAAATTACTGAATTGTCTATTTATTTAACAACAAATTGACGGAATAACAAATGGGGGACTAAATGGAGCAAAAACACAAAAGTCTGGGACGAAATTGAGTAAAAATACAAAACTCTGGGACTACATTAAGTCACCAAAGTCGTTTAGGACAAAATTGAGAAAAATCACTATAGTCGAAGACGACTTGGGGTATTAATTATTTATTTTTATCTTTCTTATCAAGTATTTTTAATTATGGTACTCCGTATATTGCAATGTTACATTTCTTAGAGTATATATACATATATATCCCATTTTTGTGTTTTAATATTTCTCAGTTTCCTACTAATTTAACATATATATTTCAGGCTTCTAGCTGTTAAATTTCCAGTTTTCAATTAGGCATGCAATTGATGCAAAATAGTGGTCTGTTATCCAATTTAATTCTTTAATTAGTGCTTCCTTAGCTTGTTTTGTTCAAATTACTCAATTTTTTTTGGCCATTGCTTTTTCTTGGTAGACAAAATGGAGCAGATACTATCGTTAGGTAATAAATTTGCAGGATATATGGGTTTTGATGAAAATCTGGAAACTCTAAAAGCTGAAGTAGATCAACTTCACATGGAAGCGAATGACATGGAAGCAAAGTTGAAGAACTTAGAAAGAGGAGGGCAAAGGAAGAGGAAACAAGGAGTCGAGGGTTGGCTTCAGCGAGTAAATAAATTAATTTAGTAGAAATATATAGATAGGTAGAGGATGAAAGTGTGACTAGTATCGGGGTGTATGGAATGGGAGGTGTTGGGAAGACAACTTTGGCATAACATCTATATAACCAAATCTGCAAAGAAAACCCTGTGCTAATGTTTACTGGGTTACAGTTTCTCAAGATTTTAACATCAGGAAATTACAAGATAACATTGCGAAAAGTGCTGCGCTGATATTACGTTGTCTGATGTGGACAATGAAGTGCAATGAGCTGCTATTTTACGCAATCATTTAGTGAGGAATAATGTTGTGCTCATATTGGATGATGTGTGGGAAAAAATTGACTTGGTGAAATTGGGTGTCCCTCTTAAGGATAAGGGTTGCAAGCTCATTTTAACAACTCGATTACAAGATGTGTGTCATTGGATTGGATGCGACAAGATGTTCAAAGTTGATGTTTTTAAAATATTTTGAAAGCTTGAAAATATTATTTGAATTAAAAAAAAAAATTGAGGAAAGAAAATCTACTTAAATTAACTCCCCATGAATTAACTTCTCAAATAGATTTAACTCATACTTACTAGCAAGAATTATGGGATGAAATAAGGGGGTGTAAGAACTACTTCTACGCCCAAATTATCTAGTGAGCTTAAAAAATAGAGTATGATGCTGATTGACATTTTTGGTATAGAAAATAGGTTTTCTACTACTGATGACATAACACGTACTAAGGTTAGTGCCATAAGTGCATCATGAAAACCTACAAATGCAACTGGGCTGGATGTATTCATTTTCAACAAGCGTAGGAGTCTTACTTATGTCTACAGACACCTAAGCAAATATAATTAAGAAGAATATAACAATTATGCATACCTTTATGAGTCCAGATCGAATAGTTAAAAGTAATCTGAAAAATAAATATAAATTATGTAAGAATTACTTAAAACTTGTAAATACTAAAGTCAAAATGTGGGAGGAGATGAGGTAGGAGAAGAGGTTTGAATAAAGACAAAGAAGGAGATGAGGTAGGAGATGAGGTATGAGAGGAGGTTTGAATAAGACAAAAGATGAAAGGTTGGAGATGAGGTTGGAGCATAGCTTTTACTTGGAGAAAACTTGCAGGAGTGGGTTTCCATACCTTACAAGTTCCTAGGCATTCAATGTGGCATTAAATGCTTTGCAAATCTCTAGGCCATTTTACTGCTATAAATAGGCACCATCCTTCATTCATTTTGTTCATCTCATCTAGCTCATATGTATCATTCTTTCGAAATACAGAGAGAATATAGCAAAAAATAGAGAGTAAAATTAGAGAGTTATATTTGTAATTCCTATTGTAATATCCTTTTGCCAATACAGAAAATTCTTCTTCAATTTGCCTTATTTTGTGTATGATTTATTTTAAATCTTACACTAGAAATTTATTCTCAATATTTCCAGTTCAAGTCGCTATTGTATTTTGGTGTTGTGAACCCGTTTCAATCCTAACAAGTGGTATCAGAGCCTCAGGTTGGTTCATAAATATATCTTTATTGTATCGTTTATGTTAGAATTCATACTGGTAAAGTGATTGTACATGTCTAGGAAAAGCTCTAGTTAAGACTTGGTATTTAAGCAGTCCATTTGTGACTCACCTCTCTTCTCTAGAAATATTTTCCTGGTGTACTGTTCACAGGACCGGTAGTGTTCTATTATACGATACTATTTAGATATATTGTTCAGGATCTTAATCAAGAACACCACTTACAATGACGGGAAAGTACGAGATTGAAAAGTTCAATGGGAACAATTTCTCGTTGTGGAAAATGAGAATGAAAGTAGTTCTCAGGAAAGATAACTGCGTAGTAGCAATTGAAGAAAGACCGGCCGATTTCACTGACGATGCGAAGTGGACAGAGATGGATAGCAACGCTATAGCCAATCTGCACTTAGCACTTGCTGATGAAGTTCTGTCAAGTGTGGCGGAAAAAGGTACGGCAAAAGAGGTATGGGATACTCTCGTAAATTTGTATGAGGCCAAATCACTGCACAACAAGATCTTCTTGAAGAGGAAATTATACACTTTCAGGATGATGGAGACATCCACAGTAACTGAGCACATCAACACTCTAAACACTCTATTTTCACAACTCTCGGCGTTGAGTTATAAAATAGAAGTGAATGAACGTTCTGAAATCTTACTCCAAAGTCTACCGGATTCATATGATCAACTCATTATCAATCTAGTCAACAACAAGGAGTACTTGTCTTCGATGATATTGCAGTTGCGGTTCTTGAAGAAGAAAGTCGGCGCAAAAACAAAGAAGACAAAGTTGGAATTTCACAACAATCTCAGGCGTTGACATTGACAAGAGGAAGATCAACGGAGCCTGGCTCCAGTGGGAGTCACAACCGAGGTAGATCAAAGTCAAGGGGTAAGAAGAATGTCAAGTGTTTTCACTGTGGCAAAAAGGGGCACTACAAGAATGATTGTTGGCAGCTCAAGAAGGATGGGGCCAAAGGCAAAAATCCCGAGACATCAAATACTCAGGGATGTGTTGTGAGTACATCGGATGGAGGTGAAGTTTTATTTGGTGAAACAGCAACGATTGTTGAAGGTAGGAAAAGTCTAGCTGATGTCTGGCTAATGGACTCAGGAGCAACATGGCATATGACCTCACGGAAAGAATGGTTTCATGAATATGAACCTGTCTCTGGAGGATCAGTGTTCATGGGAGGTGATCATGCCTTAGAGATTGTTGGTATTGGTACTATTAAACTAAAAATGTTTGATGGTACGTTTCGCACTATCCAAGAGGTACGACACGTGAAAGGCCTGAAGAAAAATCTATTGTCTCTAGGACAACTAGATAGTCGTGAATGTAAGATTCACATTCAAGATGGGATCATCAAAGTAATCAAGGGCGCGCTTGTTGTGATGAAAGCTGAAAAGATAGCAGCCAATCTATACATGCTTAAAGGAGAAACACAACTACAAGGAGAAGCAGCTGTTGCAGCAGACAATCTTGTAGAGGAATCAACGATGATGTGGCATCAAAAACTTGGCCACATGTCGGAACGAGGTCTAAAGATTCTTGCTGATCAACATCTTCTTCCGAGGCTAACGAAGGTTTCATTACCTTTTTGTGAGCATTGTGTTACAAGTAAGCAGCATAGATTGAAGTTCGAGAGCTCTAAAGCAAAGAGCAAGGCTATCTTGGAGCTAATCCACTCTGATGTTTGGCAAGCACCAGTTATATCCCTGGGAGGTGCAAAGTATTTTGTATCCTTCATCGACGACTACTCAAGGAGATGTTGGGTGTATCCAATCAAGCGGAAGGCGGATGTATTTGAAGTTTTCAAATTCTTCAAAGCGCGTGTGGAACTTGAATCCGAGAAACAGATCAAGTGTTTGAGGTCGGACAATGGAGGAGAATACACTAGTGATGAATTTAATAAATTCTGTCTACAAGAAGGTATCAAGCGGCAGTTCATGGTGGCGTATACTCCACAACAAAATAGAGTGGCAGAGCGGATGAACAAAACCTTGTTGGAAAGAACAAGGGCAATGTTGATGACTGCAAATTTGGCAAATTCATTTTGGGCAGAAGCAGTCAAGACAGCCTGTTATGTGATCAATCGGTCACCATCAACCGCAATTGATCTGAAAACGCCAATGGAAATGTGGACGTGTAAGCCATCTAGTTATTCTCACTTACATACATTTGGGAGTCCGGCATATGTGATATACAACGCTCAAGAAACATCTAAACTTGATCCAAAATCAAAAAAATGTGTTTTCTTAGGGTATGCTGATGGAGTGAAGGGGTATCGCCTGTGGGATCCCACTGCCCACAAGGTTATCATCAGCAGAGATGTTCTATTTGTAGAAGGGAAGGTACAAGAGAGTTAAAGCACTGGGAAAGAGAAGCCAGTAACTACAACAGTACAAGTTGAGGGAAGAAAGGAAGAAGAAATTCCAGTTTCCCCTGAGGCAACAATGGAGCATGATGAACAAGATCAAGCTGAGTCTTCAACTTCAAAAGTTCGACGATCAACTCGGGAGAGGAAGCAACCAGCTTGGCACTTAGATTATTCTATGGAGGGAAATGTTGCATACTGTCTATTAACAGAAGATGGTGAGCCATTTACTTACCATGAGGCAATAAAAGGTCCAGATGCATCTCTGTGGATGACAGCAATGCAAGAAGAAATTAAAGCTCTCCATAAGAATAAAACATGGGAATTTGTCCCGTTACCACGAGGAAGGAAGGCTATTGGAAACAAATGGGTCTATAAGATCAAACGAGATAGCAACAACCAAGTGGAACGGTATCGTGCACGATTAATTGTGAAAGGATTTGCTCAAAAGGAAGGAGTTGATTTCAACGAGATATTTTCTCCTGTTGTATGACTTACAACGATACGAGTCCTAGCGATGTGTGCTGTGTTTGACTTGTATCTTGAGCAGTTGGATGTGAAAACTGCATTTCTACATGGAGAACTTGAAGAAGAAATGTACATGCTCCAACCAGAAGGTTTTGAAGAAGAAGGAAAAGGGAACTTGGTTTGCAGGTTGACCAAATCTATACGGTCTCAAACAGGCGCCGAGATGTTGGTATAAGAGATTTGATTCATTCATTCTGAGCCTTGGATACAACAGATTTAATTCCGATCCTTGCGCATATTGCAAGAGATTTGATGATAATCAGTTTATCATCTTGCTGTTGTATGAGGACGACATGTTGGTAGTAGGCCCCAACAATGATCGAATCACGGAGATGAAGGCTCTCTAGGGAATTTGAAATGAAGGACTTGGGACCAGCAAACAAGATTCTAGGGATGCAAATTCACCGAGACAGAAATTATAGGAAGATTTGGCTTTCTCAGCAGAATTATCTGAAGAAAATCTTGCGGCGCTTCAACATGCAAGATTGTAAGCCAATTTCTACCC